TCCGCCTCGTGGAAGTGGGCGAATGCTGGTAGGGAGGCAGGGGAGGCGAGGGTGGAGAAAGAAGCCAACGGCCACATACCCTGGAAGGTCTGAGGGAGGCAGTCTGACGGGGGGAAGGAGGGGGTTAAGGACCTACAAAAGATGCGCGCACACCTCGATACCTTCTTCTTTGCCCATACAAGAATGGTATAACATAAGAGCACACACGCCGTGGGTTTTGGAGAGGCCCAGTTGGCCGTTGAACGCGCCTGGCGGGCTTGTTTTGTGTCGTGACTTGAGCTGCTCGTCCGAATCCATCATTTGCCCCCTGTCCCGCCTCATCACTGGGATACACACCTCTCCCTGCCCTCTTCAAGTCCTTACCTAGGTCCAGGTACGTATAAAATAGACCATAGGCAAATTTATGGACAGTGGGCAAGAAGCGAACGTGCCAAACGCGGCCCACGTAGAGGCAGGAGAAACCCAAAGGGCGTCGTGTATGCGAAGGACGCGAAGATAACAGACCGCGCACGCACAGGACTAGAAACGGCACGATGACAAACGTTACCAGCAGTACCAACGGCCATATAGAAGAGAAGAAGGCGCTCGAGGTGGAGGATGGTGGGAACAGAAGGGAGAAAATTTTCATGTGGAGGGGCCTTACAGTGTTGTCAGATAGTCTCAGCCTCCGCCCTAGGGAAAAACAACGAAACATAAGACAAAAACATCGGGCGCACTCGGTATAATCTTCGAACTACTAGCTTGCACAAGGCAATGCATGTTTAAAATATATAGCGAATTGCCATTCTTCTTTGTCCCCACGGAAGTAGCTTCTTGTCGCAAGGAGGGATGGTGTGCGGTCAGCAGGCAGAGAGATGACGCCAACCTCCTGGCTCCTACGACGGCCAAAATGATTTTAGCCACTCACAAATTACACACACAGGATATCGTGCAGGAGAAAATCGCGACGGTGGTCAGCAAATTTTCTTCGCGGACGGATGCACATTTTTTCTTGCTAGAGTCGAGCAACCTGTCATTTTTGCGACTGGTGCTTTCGCTTCATCCGCAGTATTTTCCCGACGGAGGGGGCTGTGTGCAATGG